TGTCAACTAATACGGAGCCTGTATTTATGGGTCTAGACAGAGGTACAGTAAAACCCTGGATTGCGAGTAACTCGGTTTGCAAGTGTTCCGCAAGACAAGCAAACATTTCTATTAGGTTGGTGCAAAAGTAATTACGACGAGTAATGGCCAAAACGGCAGTTGCTTTTGCACCAACCTAATACTGGGTTGTCGGAAAAGTCATGATGTATTTCTCTATGTTTTTCATTGCAGAAATGCGTCATGACTTTTCCGACAACCGAATAATGCAATTTTTTTTTTTTGGTTAGTCATCCAGGCAGCTCAACGGCAGCTCAGCTCGGGCCGGTGCTTGAACCACTGTTGCTCAGAGCTCGCACTCTTGAGTGAGTTCTTAACCAACTGAGCCACTCGGCTGGCCCCCAATAATACATTTTAACTTTGTAAACAAGCGATGTGTTGCAATATAAGTAGTTTGTTTCCAGAATGAATTATGCTCACATACCGAGGTATTACTGTATATAAATGAGAGCCCAGTGCAGTTCTGGGCCAACCACTGATTGTTCTTTAGTGAGTTATTGGTGGAGCCATTAGCCAGATGTTGTTACAGAAAATCATGTGCTGGTCCTGGTAGTCACTTCTAATGGTATGGTTCAAATAAACATGGGCTTTGGAGTCAGATCTGGGGATGAGTCCTAGAATTGATACTTGTTGAGTGATGTTTGGCAAATTACTTTACTTTGCTTCTCAGTGTCTTTATCTGAAAACAGTTTTCAGAATGGCTAAAGTTAAAAAGATTGACAATATGAAGTGCTGGGAATGATGTGGAGCGATTGGAACTGTTACACTTTGCTGAAGGAATGCCAAATGGTATAGCTACTTTGGAAGGCAGTCTTGTAAAAAAGTTAAGCATACATTGACCATAAGACTCAGCAATTCCCCCCCCCCGAGTTATTTTTCCAAGAGAAAGGAAAACATGCGTACACAAATGGTTACATGTGAATGTAGCAGCTTTATTCATCATCATCAAAACCTGGAAACAACCTAGATGTTTATTAACTGAAGACTGGATAAATAAATTGTGGTAAACCCATAAAATTAAAAGGATGGACTGCAAAATGGTTGAATATCATAATATTTATGCTAAGTGAAAGAAGCCAAATGAAAAACCCATATACTATATGATTCAATTTGTATTGATATTGTGGAAAGAGCAAAGCTATAGGGACATGAATTGTCTAAGTCGTTGCCAGGGACCTGGGAGTAGGGAAAGGGGATTGACTGCAAAGGAAAATGAGGGAATGTTCTGGAATAATGGACATGTTGTATATCTTGTTTGTGTTGGGGGTTACATGACTATACATTTGTCAAAATGATGAGTTTTACTGTATGTAAATCATGTCTCAGAAAAAACAGAAAAAGAAAAACCAAACCTGTGTTTCCGAGTGGTTATAGAAATTGGAAGAGATTATTCTCCTCCCCCATTTTTTCTTCTGTCTGATTCTTCATTATTCGCTGCTGCTGTGTCTCTTATAAATTCAGGGACCATGATAAATTGCAACTTCTTATGTCAGAGTTGAGATGCTACAAAAAATTTGTCTGTATTTGTCCTTATCTGCAGCCTTGGAGTGATATTTTTAAATCAAGTCATCAACTATCGTTTTATATTTCTAGATATTCCAATTAGTACTGAAGAACTCGTAGTCTGCACACTCTGTAAAATATACCCGATGTACTTGCTTCGATTGGAGTCTAGATTTCTGTCCTGTGGCAGTGGTAATGCTCAGTATGGGTTGGGAGGGTATATAAAGCAATCTTGAGTTTGAGCCTCAGTGTTCCCTGAGGAAGGCTTCTTCCACTTCTCAGGAAACCGTTGTTCTATATCAGTGATGAGCAAGGATCAGAAGCACCTGGAGGAGTAGTTACAACCACAAATTGCTGACCCCCTCCCCCAGAGTTAGTGATTCCATAGGTCTGGGGTGGGGGCCAAGAATTCACATTTCTTACAAGTTCCCAGACAATGTTGATGCTATTGGTTTGGGGCACAGACCTTGAGAACCACTGATTTATACTTAAATCTTGTGTTACAGTATCAAAATTCCTGCCTACCTATAGAAGCCAACATTTTGTTTTTAAACTGCGTATGGGGGCAGAGCAAGAGGGAGAAAGAGAGAGAAAATAGTGTTTGGCTAGAGGCCACAAGATGTTTGATGCTTGAAGACAAAGAATTAGAGCTGGCAAGAAGAAAAAGGAAAAAACGAATGTCAAGCTGCCCCTCTTCCTTTTAACCTCTTGAGTGTTGTCATGATACCTCATAATTATTTTATCCCCCTAACAACAGGCTCCTCTTGGACTCCCATTTTTATGATTTTAAAAGTCCTGAGGACTCTTACTAGGCCTCCTCTGCCCATTGGCCTAAAAAGTATTCTCTGCTTAGTTTGCAATAAATAGGCCCTCCCCCTCACGCTTAAGTTTCAAGATTGTATCTGTTTTTTTCAGACCAATAATAATTTTCACTGAATTAAATCAAAGTACCATAAACAGCACAATTTGAAGCAGTCTGGGATGTGTAGGTGGGTGACTGATTTCAAGTGAACACATATAAATTGTGCACTTGTATCAAACAATTCCCTAGATCAAGGAAGAAATAACCCTAATAATTTTAATAGTACTAGGTGTAAAAAGAATACGAGTAAAATTTAGAATCTGAAAAACAATTTGTGTTACATTTAAGAAAATCATAGATTATTTTATCTTCCCAAATGCCAAAGCAGATACTGAGGGTTGTATATATACATTTGTTCAGAATTCTTTTATTTTCCACTTGCTGTTGGGTCTATTGTGCTGTAATGATATCTGCTGATTTCTCTCTCTGATAAATTAAATACAATATATTATGCTTAGAGCTGATGTCCTTTTCTCCTCCCACCACTACCCCACTGATTATCTAGAGTCTTCAGAGAAAATAGCTCATTGTACTGGTTGATTACATGCCTCAGTTGAATAGTAGCTTGCTGCCAATTATCATTACAATGCCATATTGATTTTTTCTCATTTCCACTATGAAAATTAAAGCAGAATTTGTTTAAAATGAGCTTCCATATATATTATGGATGTGTTGGTTCTCAATATTTGAGCCATTTTCAAAATATCTTTTCTTCAGTGATCTGATGTTTCTTACTGATATTTTCTTAGAAATTTAGGTCTCTACTTTGTAAGCTTTTCCTTAGGTAGACACGAAATGTAGCCTAAAGGCTGTCAGATAGAAGTAATAGTCACGGTTTAAATATGTGTAGATTTTAGTTATTGCTTCATAGGATTCTGCTATATATTAATTTACGTTTGTGAAGTTCTTGGGCAGTGTGAGACTGCTGATTCTCTTAACCATGCAAGTCAGTAAATTTATTTCAATTTGAATTAGCAAATATATATTTAGTGTTGACTAGATGTAAGCCACTCTGCTAAGTATTATGAAAGATAGAAAGATACATGAGATAACACAGCTGTCTTCACAGAAATTTTAATCCAGATAGGTGGGTGAGACGCATATGGCAAGAATTATATTCTCAAGCAATAAGATATATGGGTGTTCAAAGGAAAAATAACTGGTATTTGGATGGAGAACTTCTGGGGATAAACATTAATGGAAGAATTGATAGTCAATTTGAGCTTTGAAGTGTTTGGAGAGATGGAGTTGGGGTTATCTTTTGTAAAGAAAGAATAAATGAGGTAAGGAAGGGAGGTGCAGGGAGGACTCCAGGAAAGAGAATTTATCCAATTTTCACTGGAACGTGTGGTATAGGGCCTGAGTCTGTAAATGTAGGTTGAGTCTAGATGAGAATCAGGATTTGAAACGTGTTAGGTAGTCCAGAAGAAATTTTTATATGGATGACTGATCAAGTGCAATCTAGTCCATCATTTTGTAAAATGAATAAAAGAAAAAATGAAGCTGCAAAGACCCTAGTTGGGAGGCTACTGGCATAGCAAAGGAAAAGTCACTAGGGCTAACCTAGAATGTTAGCAGAGACAATGAGACGGGGAAGGGGGCATGTGTGGGTGTCATTCTAGAAGAGGAATATTCATGACTGGATGACAGAAAATCAAACTAAGCTCTACGTGATCAGTCCTGCAGCCTTCTACCACGGGTGGGTTACTTCATCTCCTGCTGCTCTCCCAGGCCTGCTCATTCAGCTGTAGCCACCAGTCTCCTCGCAGTTCCTAGAATATCCCAAGCACACTAGCAATGACTTGAGTGCCCGAGTTGCCCTTATTCCTTCTACTGGGAAAGTCCTCACTTCTTTCAAGGCTCTGCTCAAATACCACCTGATGGAAGACTCTTTCCCTGACCACACATTAAAAAAGAACATCCTGGCACTTCTTACTCCTTTTACCAAGGTTTAGTTTTCTTCTTAGCACCAAAGCACTAACATTTGATTATATATTTGTCTGTTCATCACCTGGCTCCCTCTTTCTAGACACAAAGCTATATGAGGGTAAAGGCTTAGTTTTGTTGCCTGTTGTATCTGTCACCTAGAACATGTCTGGTACTTCATAGGCACTCAATAAATATTTACTGAATGAATGAACAGAATGAATGCAAAGGTGAAAGAGATGGGGAGATAAAAAAATTATGCCTGTATTTCAAATCTGAAGGATTCAAAGGATTGTAGTATTAATAACAGGATCTGGAAGAATGGAAGAGGTGTTCATTTAGGGAACCACAGACACAGACGATGATAAGTTTGGCTTATAAATTCCAGCTTAAATTATATGTTGCTGGTGAAACAACAAAGACAGGGCAGTGGAATAGTCAATCTACAATATGAAGAGAAGTCTGAGATTGAGGTAAACATCTTTCAGTTCATTCTCATAGAGGATGTTTGAAACAGTGAGAGTAGAAAAAAGAATGACAAGCAATATAAAGACAGGATTATCAGATTTGAAAATCAGAATTTCATTTTAGATGCTTAATGTTTTAAATATACAGAATTATTTATACATTTTTTTGTTTGTTTATTTTATAGCTGGGTCAACAACTTTGGCCATGAAGGTCTTGGACTCTTATTGGATGTGCTGGAAAAGCTTCTGGACAAGAAACAGTAAGAATAACAAAGAATAAAAAATGAAAAAAATCACCAAAGGGGAAAATTTTAAGTACAACATAATGTTTTTTCCTTTTATTCAGGCAAGAAAATATTGACAAGAAGAATCAGTATAAACTTATTCAGTGCCTCAAAGCATTTATGAATAATAAGGTAAGTACTATTTATTTCTGCCTCTGTCACAAAAGGTGAGAATTTGCCCGACAGTATGAAAGTATGAAACAGACAAAATAGAGTGTGTTTATTCAGCATACAAAAAGGTCCTTATGATGCACATTATCAAGTTTCATTTAAATATTTAAAATAAATTTTGCTTCACAAAATATTTATTGATAGGTTTTTGCAATCATGGGAACATGATTGTTCCCAAATTAGATAATACTTTCTTTTATTCTTTTATGGTAGTAGGACAATTTAAATGTGATATGTTGAGTACCATTTTCTTACTGAGTATTTTTATTTCATTGAAAAGGAAAATAAAATTTAAAGCTATGATTTGACTCATTTGCTAAGAACATTATCAGGTTAAGGTTTCTTTTTCTTGGGGATCCAGTCAAGATGGCAGAGTAGGTGAATACTGTGCTTACCTCCTCTCACGAGCACATCAAAATTGCAACTAAACTACAGAATAACCATCATTGAGAATCACCTGAAATCTTGCTTAACCGAAGCCCTATAACTAAGGACATAGAGAAGAAGCCACCGTGAGACTGCTAGGAGGGGCACAGATGTGAAGCAGGCTGGTCCCACACCCGCGTGTGACCATTGAAAATCAGGAGGGATATTTCGGCTGCAGAGGTTCCCCCTGGAGGAGCAAGGGGTCCCAGCCCCACACCAGGCTTCCCAGCCCAGGGTTCCAGTGCTGGAGAGAGAAGTCCCCATAACTTCTGGCTGTGAAAACCAGTGTAGACTGTGGCTGAATGAGACAGAGGGTGGCTGCAGTCCCAGGTGTTCTTCTTGAAGGGCCCGTGCACATCGCTGACCTGATGGACTCACTTGCTCTGAGCTCCAGTGCTGGTTACAGTAGCTCGAAAGACACCAGGGACATATAGGTAGGAGCTGAATTTTCTGTCTTTGTGGTGAAGATTGGAGGGACAGCTTTCTCCTGGATGGAAGAGCTGGTGGAAGCCATTGTTTCTTTGTTGAGCCCTCTCCCCTCCCAGTGTGCAGAGACAGGCAGAAACTTTATCTGAGTCTCCATCAACCTGGTTAACACCATTTATTCACCCTGATTCCCTGCGACCCTGCTCCACCCAACTTGTGGGCCCACCCAAGCCCCTTCTGGTGCCTTTTTCCTATAAATGGCCTGTCTTGGTTCATGCTGCAGGCTTCCCTACAATTTCTCAAAGGTTCACAAGACCCAAACAAGCAGCATCTGGCTTTGGTGTGTCCCGGTGTGTCGCTGAGCAGTCCTGAGCCCGGCACTAGCAGCAGCCGGCCTCTGTTCATGGCCTAGCCTCTCGAGGCAGCTCCAGTGCTTGTGCACGTGGCACCCTTTTGTAGGTTGCTTTGTGGCTCATGCCGTCAGGTAAGCCAGGATGGGCGCTCACAAGTACATCCAGGAGCTATGGAGGGAGAAGCAGTCCCATGTAATGTGGTGTCTTCACAGGATGCACTGCTGGCAGTACCGCCAGCTCTCTGCGTTCCACAAGGCCCCCCGCCCCACCCGGCCTGATAAAGCTCACAGACTCGGATACAAGGCCAAGCAAGGTTATGTCATATATCAGATTTGTGTGCTCTGTGGTGGCCGCAAACACCCAGTTCCTAAGGGTGCGACCTATGGCAAGCCTGTCCATCATGGTGTGAACCAGCTCAAGTTTGCTTGAAGCCTTCAGTCTGTTGCCGAGAAGCTAGCTGGACACCACTGTGGGGCTCTGAGAGTCCTGAATTCTTACTGGTTGGTGAAGATTCCATGTACAAATTCTTTGAGGTTATCCTCATTGATCTGTTCCATAAAACTGTCAGACAGAATCCTGACACCCAGTGGATCACCAAACCAGTCCGTAAGCACAGGGAAATGCGAGGGCTGACATCTGCAGGCCTCAAGAGCTGTGGCCTTTTCACAAGTACCACTATACTATTAGTGGCTCTTGCCTGACAGCTTGGAGAAGATGCAATACTCTCCAGCTTCACCGTTACCGCTAATATGAATAATGTTTGTAAAATTCTTACCCAATAAACAATTTAGGACAGTCAAAACAAAAAGTTTTGCAGTTTTGAAGAACATGGTGGTTTGACTTTGATTATTCTACACTAAGGTTAAGCTTTAGTTAGGGCACGTTAATGTCATGCACATAGGGGCCCAGATCATGAATAAATGGTTGATCTTTTAAATTAGGCATGTGAAACAATAGGTATAAAGTATGCATTGAAAATAAAAAACAAACAGGGATATATCCATTTCATGTTGGAATAAATTGTCATAAGCAAAGAAGGACACTTTCATATGAAATGACTTAAACATCAAATTTGTCCCCAAGAAGATTATATTACCTACTTCAAAAACTTTTCCCTTATACAGTGCACGTCAGAATAGAATCATAAAAAGCCATCCATTGCTTCTTAACTTCCATTGCTGTAATATTGCTCTGATGTTTACATTGATGGTTTTCCATCATTTCTCTTGTCTTCATTGATATTTTCAGTATGTCCCTACATATTAGCAACTACTTTTAAATAATAAGAGGAAATTTGAAAATTTAAGTGATTTTACTCTCAGTCTAATTGATTTTCCCCCCATTTAAGATGCATGTTTTTATTGAAATGTTTAAAAACTGTAACCAGACAGAAGAAATAAAGTAGACAAAATGTTATAACCTGACCATGTAATATTTTCTGTTTTGGTGGATAACTAAAATATAACAAAGGATTATTCTCATGCTCATTTTAAAGTTGTCCAGTTCAACCATTATTTTCTCAAACATTCATATGTTACTCAGGAAACATTCATAGTTTATTTGGGCAACATTCATAGTTTATACAGAATGTACAAATTTGAGACAATAAAAAAAACACCTCACAGCTGTCACTGCAACACTATCCTAGCTGCATTGTGGTGATTACATTGCACAGTCAAGTGTCCACTACACACAACTGGATTTTAATAGTGTTATTTACAGAGGAGCCCGTAGCACTCATGTAAGGTAAAGTTGCTCGGACATAATGTGCACTTTCACAGCCCTGTGAAAACACAACCATTATAGACACTGTAAACACCAGGGGCATGAAATCCATCTCTGACCACAAACATCCATCTCACAGGATCAGGCATATGAGGTCTAGGGAAGGTGCCTGCCTTTTCCTTGGTAAGCATACTTTTCATCCAAGAGGGCTGCTCTTCTTTTCATAGGACACTGTTCACTTATTTCAAATATGGTGCCAGTGCTCAACATTTCTGGAACCCCCTCTTGGGCATTGCCTGCACAGTCTGCAGTTAACTCTACTGAATGACCTTGATGGTGGCAAGGCATCATCCTTTGAGGATGGATTTGATTTGGGAAAACAGGCATAATTATTCACAGCCTAGTGAATGAAACTGGGGGCTACCGCCCTGGATCAAACATGAGGCGCCACTATAAAACCAAGAGACCATTTTTCTTGTACAGCATGCAAATTAAATGCCTGAACAATAGCAGTCCCCACAAAGTACAGGTCCTCCTGGCGTGATGACTCTGAGGGGCAACAACACTCACTTGAACGGTATGTCTAGATGGTGGTTTGCAGTTTCAAAAATCAGCCATTTTGTTGCTTCCCATATAGAAAACTATTCTTCTTCCGTTTCAGTCCCTTTCACTTTCTTATGGATTGCCCGATTGAAGCTGTGGCAAGCAGGGACCCAGTGGTTGTCATGAAGCCCCAGCTTACAGCCAGGGAAGCCCTTCTGAGACCAGTGGCAGCACATCCAGTACCCCGGCCCATAGGGCAGTGCCTGGCAAGAGGGCTTGGGGTGCCACCGGCACAGGGGCACATCCCCCTTCACATATTTTTTCTTGCACTGCTTGCAAGGATCCTCTCGATAGCGTGGGTCTTGAACCCAGTGAGAACCTGCTGGCCTGATGTTGTAGTATTCAGTGATGAAGTAGCAGCAGGTACAGTTAAGAGCCACTGAACTCTTGGTGGGAAGTAACTTGAAGATTTTCACCAGAATGTGGTGGGGTAGGAAAGCCATGTACTGCTGAGGCTCCAAAAGCGCTGGATTTTAAACCTGGTCTCTAGAAAGTCATGAGACACCTGCTTCTTCCAACTGGACGCCTCAAGCACCGGTACTGTACTTTCTGCAGGAGAGGCTGACGGGACAAAGGAATCGGCTGAAACGCTTTTTTCCTTGGATGCACTGCCAGCCTCAACAGCATCTTCAAGATGGTCGGCCTGGGAACTCTTACTGTGCTTTCATTCAGCTGGGAACAGTCTGACTGGTGCTGACCAGGTGGCAGAAAAAACAGCCTCCCTGGGAGTGGGTCTTCACAGGGCTTCAAACTATGAGGCTGGTCTTTCTCTACCTTGGACACAGTGATATTAAAGCACACGGATTCGTTTCTTCTCTGATCAGGATTGTGGCTTAGTGAGTGGCACCAGCTCTCATACGGTCAACAGCATCTGTGGGCAACTCAGTGGCTTGGGGTTACTCAACAAGCTCCTCTGTCATTTTCACATCGTATCTCGGGCTGTTTTTCACAGCAGTTTGCTGATCTGGCTGTAACGCTGCACTGTCCCTGTGGAAACTCACACCGGCTGGCAGTGAGGGACAGCCCTGAGGAGCACCATCCAAGGCCTGGTCCCCCTTAAGAAAACAGCTGTCAGCTCTTGAGGGGCCACAGTCCAGAGACCCACACCCCAACGGGATTCACCTGAGTGTCGTGCCTCTAAGGCACCTTTGTTTTGCCTTTATCTGCCTGAGTGCCATTTGCAAGCAACACCTGGCCTACATTTCTTCGGAAGCTGTTATTCCTCGAGAGGCTCCCAGGCTCACGCTGGCTCTGCCGCTTCAGACACTCAGACTCCAGCCTTGCTACCATGTCGAGGACACGGATTGGCTCACTCTGTGGTTCACCAACCTCAGGATTTCCCCTTTCCGCAGGTTCTTCACAAGCCCCTGGGGCAGAGAAAGCCTCGGAGGTGGGAGGCACACCCCTTGATTGCCCAGAAAACCTCACCATGGCAGGTGCATTAGTGCAGGTTTTTTGCACAACTGGCTAGCAGAGCACTCACTGGCTCTTTGCTCAAGGAATGCAGTCCCCTGTACGCCAGACAGAGGCTTCCTGGCATAGATGCTGTCCCCACTTGTCACGTAATTCACAGAACAGTGCTCAATGCCACACGCAAAAGGCTCAGGCTGGTAGAACCTGCTGTTGACTTCCCTCAACCTTTCTAACTGTATCTTGGCTATTTTAAGATCCCCTGATTTTTTTCTTCTTTTAGTAGCTCTCCCATCAATATCCCAGGAGCTTTTGATTTTCGTAGACCCTATCCTATTGCTACACTGGTGGGCTGCAAAAAATGCAGTTTTCTCCGTGGTAATTCCCGGTTTCACCACAGCCCCGATATCAAGCGGCCCCACTCCTTCTTCACCCTGGTGGATTGTCGCAGATGGCGCATTCTTCTTGGTTTTCATGTTCACGCTGCTCTCTACAGGACTCTTTCCATTCATGCTGCGCGGAACATTTGGAGAAAGGATCCCAAAAGGCTTTCGAGATGATGCTTTACCAGGAGTGGTAGAAGGAAAGACACTGGGTTTCATGTAGCTAGCTTGACATTTTTCATTATTTACAGCCTCTTGGTGGCTCACAGGAATTCTCAAAGTTCCTTGCTGGTTTCCAGGTTATACTTTCTTCTGGAGTTTTCAATATGGCTTTAGGTGCATAACAGAGGCTCTTACAAGTCAAGGTCAGTGAAGAAGGGTTGAGTGCTCCTATCCAAGCTTCCTGCTGTGCTCTGGCCCAGGGCTGCACACAGAGATGCAGTGGTGGCAGTGGCAGCAGGAGGCCTGGCTTGCTCCCTAGCACTGATGGGACCGAGCACCTCATGCTGCGGAGCCCAAAGCTCTCTGAAAACCGTTTGGCTAAAACGGCATGACGTCATGTGCTGGCCCAATCGATGGTTCTCTAATTGATTTTTAAAGCTGCTATTTTAAGTTTGGTAATTGCATGGTAATCATGTATTTCAGTTTTACACACATGCTTTTCACTTATTTTCCTTACTTTTTATTATCTAGCCACCTTTATACATACATATCCCTTCTGTTTTCTTTGCTTCTTTTTAATCGTCTCTTTCATTTCCTTTTTTTTTTTGGTTTTGTGTCTGTATGTTTCCTTGTTTATTATGACCTCTTATAAAGTCACATTTAAAAGCATTAGCTATTTTTCCCCCTGAATTCCTTTTGAAGTTAAATTAGGAACCATGAAAATATTCATATGCTTGATACTTAACTAAAGGTTAGCTTGAAATGGCAATTTTGCTCCGATGAAATGTTGTCAGATTTCACCATTAGACTGTAAAAGGAAGCAAACATATTTCATTAGAAATCTGAGAAATGCTTTGTGGGACAAAGATCAAAGAAAATATTACCTTCTTAATATAGTGAAAACCCAAGTTTTGGGCTTCCTTTAACATTTCTTTACCTATTCATTCTTATAATGTGCACTTGCACACACATATTGAAACCTAGAAAATAAATGAAAATGATGTCTTCTCTGCCTCATTGGCTGTGACACTTACTAAAACCCAGGTGCCATTTCTTTGGGTTCAAAGGTTTTGTAATGTAGCACAGCTGCCTGAGAGGGGGAAGATAGGCGAGTAGGTATAGGGAAATCTATACAGAGGTTTATTGCTTTAACTGGCATAGAGTATACAAAAGAGCTTTTCAGCATTTTACCCTTTTTGTTCAACTTAATTTTCCACACAAACATATTGGAGAATTTAACCATGAATTCCACATATCTCCAGGGAGACCCAATGACATAAGTAGAATTACTTTAGAAAATCATATCAGTATGTGCTTTACATGTTCTTCTTTGTTGAAGAAATACTGATTGTTCCCATATTTCTCCCAAATCTTTATGGAATTTTTAGGCAGGCTAATGGAAATCATATCTGATCAAGAGGCAAAAACTCCAAGATGCAGTCATTTCATATAAAAGAAAAAGACAAATAATTGCTATTTGAAGACCTTTCATGTAATTAGGTAGAACCTCATTGTGGGAGGTACAGGTTTTTAGAAAATCATTGTGAGTTGTTTTTTAAAATTACAGATATGTTCCAAAGACATTTTTAATGAAGGTTCTTTTTTTTTTGTTGTTTTTTTTAAGTTTGGATTGCAAAGGATTCTAGGAGATGAAAGAAGTCTTTTACTATTGGCAAGAGCAATTGACCCCAAACAACCCAACATGATGACTGAAATAGTAAAAATACTTTCTGCTATTTGCATTGTTGGAGAAGAGAACATGTAAGTATTGCTATGTTATTATATTAACTGCATGGAAATGACACTTGAGAAATTAACAAGTCATACTTGTTTTGCTGTTTCTTTAGATAACTTGCATGAAGATGGTATGAATTTTAGGAAATTATTAGCATTTTTATCTTATCTATTTACATTTAGCTTTTTTTTTTTATTCTTTGAAAAATAGGTTTATACAGATAGTATCCTAATGGGAAATTCTTCAAAGTTGAATTCAAAGAGAATGATTAGAATTTTGACTTATTTGAAGGTAAAGCAATTATTAGAAAAATAGGAAAAAAAGAAGAGAGTAATTTTGCCTAAATACACACACACACACTCACACACACACTCACACCCTACACAGATACACATAATAAAATTTGACTTCTTTAACTAACTGAATTAACTAGATACTTTTATTTTGTACTATTATTTAATAGTAATATTTTCCTTTATCTGCCTATGGTAAGTGAAAAGATGAAGCAATTATTCATAGAATGTAGTAAACTAATCTGTTAAAAAGAACAAAAAGGCTGATGGTAATTTTTCAGTGCATGTATGTGCCAGCTTCAGCAAGTTTTTGCTTTCCATGCACTAGATCATTACTTGTTGTGGAAATAATATTCAGTCAAAAGCTAAATTTAAGATTTGATGTCATTATTATGTCCGGCTAGTAAGAAAACATTGTGATAAAGAATGAAATACCTGCTAAGGACATGGACTAAAGTATTTCATTCAAACAGTGTGTTTCCAAGCAATAATTTCGATTTGAATCAGAACAGGGCCATACAAAGATTTAAAAATATTCTAATATGTTGATTTTTCTCATACCTACTAGAATAAAATGAGATGTTGCTTAGTACTGACTAGTGTCCTTAGAAAGCAAAAGGCCAACACTAAACAAAAATATTATCATATAGCATTAAGTTTTATCTCAATGAGAACAAACTGTGAATGAGATAACATAAGCAAAAGTAAGGTTTCCTTAGGTTTTATAGAAAAATTAGTTTATGTATGAGTAAGAAATATTTTTCTAGTCAATTAGATTTTTCAATAATTAATATAATACAGCCTACCCTAGTTTACTTGGTATGATTTAATTATAATTTCAGATATAGTTCGATAAGAGTAGGATAACTACATACAGGTTAGTTTGATACAGATACTTGTACAGAGATGGTTTTCAATATTTTTGTTCTTGTGAATAAGTTTTTTGTGCTAGGTATTTATAGAGCTTCTCTAATTACCTAGGCTTTCTCTTTCAGGTTTTTTTTTCTTGTTCCATTTTCAAAGCATGTCTACGTTTTAAGCTCTTTTAGAATGTTTTACTCTTTCCAGCACTTTATTATAAAATTACAGTCGGGTTACACTTGAATAAGCTTTTAATAATTGTAGATGCCATTGTGTGCTTAAGTGATATTAATATCTATTACATGAAATATCAAAACCTGAAATTTTAAATTTCAGTATTTATTAATTAACTATCTTTTAAAAAATGTCACCTAAAAAACTTCTTTTCCTCAAGATTTGTAAATTCAATTTTCATTTCGATGCCCTAAAATTATTTAAAGCTATGAATATTTGATTTATAGAAGTACTCATATGCAGACAGGAACACAATTCTTCAATTGTAATAGTCTCTATAAATATCAAGCACCAGGAAATAAAACAGGAAAAACTGAAAGAGATAAACCCATATTTATAATGTATGTATAAGACATATTTCTCATTTCTGTTCAATTTTTTTCCTCTGTAGTCTAGATAAACTTTTAGGGGCTATAACTGCAGCAGCAGAAAGAAATAACAGAGAACGATTTTCACCAATTGTGGAAGGATTAGAAAATCATGAAGCTTTGCAATTACAGGTGAGTCGGTTTTGTCTTAAATTGCTTCCAGGATTACATTTAGAGTGCTCATGTTGTATGGCACCAACTCCATTTGAGTTAACACTTGAATGGAACATAAAATGGAAATTCTTCTTGTTGCTTGGTCATTCATAAAAGCTAGAAGTTTTGTCTGGGAGAAAAACCATTTGTTTAAAATTAGAAAGAGTACTTTGGATTATTATAAGTATGATTATGATTATCGTTAATATTTGGTAGAAATTTAGTAACTAATGTAATAAACTACAGAAATTAAAGCCTTAACAATAACCAGGACAAGAGGGCAAGCAGTTCAGCCAATGTCATTATCCGCACAAGTGTTAATGAAGTCTGTGGGCTTTTGTAGAAATTAAAGAAAACTGAGCACATCTGTCTTTGTGCCATACACACAACATTCACAAGTCTCATTACACAGAATAGGGATGATGGAATTTCAGCTTTTAGGTCAGGGTCTATCTGATAGCCCTGTGTAGACCCAGCCTAAATGTTTTCTTTAGATAATGACAAAACTCACTATCTTTTCTTAGATAATTTCAGGAAATGACCCATTTTATGAAAGATAACTTTGTTCTTGAGTGGTTAGAACTCATTTATTGACCATACTTATGGTGTGAGATGCTGGACGAAACATTTTAATTTATTTCTGTTATCTGATTTAATTCCCACAGCAACCCAGCTATATAGGTAGTATTATTTAGTAGCGAGTGCTTAAATATTAAAATTTCTTATCTGATTAAAGCAGATGTTTTCTTTTCCTCTTTTTATTGTATTATGAATTATTGGTATCTTTTTTCACCAGTTTGCAGCCACAGAAAATAGATAAATTGACTTGTCCAAAGAGAATACTATTATGTCAACAAAACTATTATCCCTCTCCAAATAGTTAAGGAGATTTAATTGTTACTTCTGCTCCAACTATGATGAGCAATTTAGATAAACTTTTATGGTGTGCCTTTTATGTCCAGTGTATTATATTTTTCAATAATTTGGGGTATTTCCTTCCAGTGTTTTCCTTTTTATAATACACTTCTCATTATAAAATTGGTCTCCATAAAATTTGATTTCTCTGCTGAAAGGTTTGAAAACTATCTTTTTTAGATGACTTCTTGAAGTTTGTGTTCTTGTTCCTATGGATGGCCTTACCTAAGTAAATTTCATCAACTTTTAGTCATATATATGAGCTTGTGCGTGTCTTGCAAAGTTTGTTTAGGAGGAATTAGGTCTTTTAGACAGATTCAGAGTTTTCATTACCAGATCGCTCACTTAACTCCAAATCACACAGCTGTTGAGGAGTAGAGTTGTGATTTGAAGCCAGGTCTTTGTGATTCCAGTATTTGCATACTGCCTTGTCTGACCTTTACACTGACACCTCTGCCATAGGGTAGTTCACCCTAAACAATGGGAAGGGAATGACATTTTCTAGCCTTCAGGAAGCTGGACTGAATGGAATGATAAAATGGCAAGTTGTTAAGAAGTAAACATATGGAAGAATCATAGACATCTTGCTAGGTATTCAAAAAATTGTTGAATAGTGATTATAGATGCAAACATATGCAAAACACAATTTGAAATTTCCTATTCTAATGAGCTACAAAAATTAGTAATTTGTTATTATATATACAGAGCCTATTACTCTCGCAAGAATTGTTAAGCGGGTTTGTTTACTTGGATTATTTCATGTGAATGAAAAAAATACCATCTAAAAGTTCAAAAATATATTCAGAATGCAGAATGAAAAACAAAAGTTTCAATCTGTTGTTTAAAAAATATAATTAGTGCTGTATTTTAACAGAATGACTTTTCTATTTCTGTAGTATCCTGAGACTTCTCAAAATGTTATTACAGTCTCAGGAAGTAATTCTGTTAAAATACAGGACTAATTATATTTTTAAATAACAACTATATACCTTTTTTTTCTTTTTGGGGTTTTAAAATACGTTATTAACTTCTCACAGAGGTTTTCTAGCTTATCTTTACAGTGAAATTTTATACCTGAGACAGAATTTTCATTATCTTCAGTAGTTCGAAAAATAGATAAAACAATAAATCACATTATCTTCTTATACTCTTCTCTTCATTGACTTTCCTTCAGCTTAGTAGCATTCTCAAGTCTCCCCCATACTATAGCACCTTCCTTTGATCCTGCTCATCATTGAACTAGCCTCTCATCTTCCTTTTTCATTTCGTAGTCCAAATCTCTAAAAGAGTCATTGGCACTTGTTTTCTCAGTTTTCTAAATTACCTTTCACAGCTCAACTCTTTCACAGTTCTCAAAAAGGTCAACAATGGTCCTCTAATTTCAAAATCCAATGACCTATTTCCAATCCTTTTATCACTTGGCACTATTTGATCACTTCCCTCCTTGAAAATTTTACTGCCTTTGGCTTTTCAGGCATCATTCTCTCCTTGCTCTTTGACTGCCTTTCACTGCTCTTTCTCTGTCTTCTTTCATGTGTTTTTCCTTTTCTTCTTGAATGTTTGGTTCTGTGTTCTATTCTTGGTCCTCTTCTATTACCACTTTTGTATATACAAACGTGTGTATATATATACATATATATATACACACACATATATATGTATATATACACACATATATATACACATATATATATCTGCACACACATAAATATACTCATGCATATGCATATACATGTACACAGATATATTTTTTATTTTCCTCATGAATGTTCTCAGTTGCTCCTCTAGCTTTAACATTACTATGTTCTAGTGATTTGCCAGCTTTATAAGTCTAGCTCATATCTCTCTCTATTCAAACCTCCATGTCCAAATGCCTAATTAGATATCTTGTAGACATCATTAAAATATGAAACTAAAAATAGCATTTATAAGCCATGTGCCAATGTTGTAAATACTTTTACATGTTACTTCATTTTTAAACCTCACAGCAATCCTATGAGAGATAGCAGTAGTATCCCCATGTTATAGATGAGTAAACTGAGGCTCATAGAAGTTAGATAACTTTCCTATGTCACAAAGTGAATAGGAGGCAAACCCTGATTGGACACTAGGTTGTCTGGCTCCAGACCACATGCTCTTAACCACTACATGGTACCTCTTATTAAAACTGAGCTCACTCTCTCTTCCCTTGAACGTAATTCCCCCAAAAGAAGTCTAGTCTTCTTCCCACCTTTCTAATTTTAAATGATAGATGTCTCACCTAGATGTCTCATCTTGTACCTAATCTTTAATTTTCCTACAGACTTCATTCTTCTTTGTTCTCGGCATCCATTCAATCATCAAGTCTTACAGAACAGACTATGAATCTATCCCAGTTTCTCTACCCCCACTGTGTTTTTCTTCTTTCACCAGTGTTATGCCAACAGTTTCCTAATAGTACCCCATACCGATACATTCTGCCCCTCCAGACAAATGCTGTATACTGTTGTCAGTTATCCTGAAAAAGTAAATCCGATTCTAACATAGCAGCATTCCTAGAAAGCTGTGCTCACGACCCATTGCTACCTGATAAAGGGGAGGAGCCTAATCATGATGTGTGTGACCTTTTTTAGTGTGGCCCCAACTTGGAGCCTGTCACTCTCCCAAATGTACCACATGTTTTAGCCATACTAAACCTGGCATTTCCCAAATATGTGGTAGACTTTTAAATGCCCTCAAGTATTTTATCATATAGAACACTTTGCTTGAAATACCAATCCTTCTACATCCGTAACTCTTTCCTCTGGGCAAGGTTTAATGAGAACACAAAGGAAGGCCATTTTAGGTATGCCCTGCATAAGTCTAGGAGGGCTTCAGTGAGGAGGTGATGCTTTAACTGGGTCTTGAATGATGAATAGGAAACACTGTTATGGTCGGATGGGAGGCGGGAAATGACTTCCAGTAGGTAAAGACTGAGGCCAGCATAGTCTGCCGGTCACTTCACAAAAGAAGACAAAGTGAGGTAATACCAACATATAGTTGAAACTGATTTCTCCATAGCCCAGCAGGAAAAGCTAGGGTAACTGAGCATTAAAAATAGTTGTTTATGGAAAGAGAAAGTAGTACAGTTAACCTCCAAAGATGTGCTATAAAGAGCCCAGTCTTTACAGGAGGCTATTATTCATGTCTTAAAGTATCTCAGAAGCTGTATGTAGAAATGTGTTTACCATGATTTAATACATTTTAAATATGTTTTCTAACATGCTGAACATAAAAAGAAAATTGTGCATGTTGTCATTAGATGTGATACACAAAAACATAGCAGAAAAATATATGCTTCCCTGATGTGTAATAGGTTCACTTTACCTATTTGATAGATTTATCAGTTTGGAATATGACTGAGAACCAAAAAAGAAATAAAGCAAAAATAAAATAAAATAATCTGAGTAGCCTCCACAATGTGACCAAATCCATCAAGTATGGCTTGTGATGCCAAAGACCTTTTGGCCTTTAATCAGAGCCTCTTAACTCTTTCTTCCTTCTGGTGTCTTAATGAGCCCAATTCCCCATTTTCCATCCATAGCCGACTAGAAGCACAGGTTGGGAGGTTGGAAGAGTATTTATTCCAGATCAATGAACTGAACTGAGATGATCAAGAAGTGACAGGTGACAGACAAACAGCAAGGGAGGAGGTAGAAACATAATAAAAGACTGGAACTAGAATGCAAAATTTTAACGTTCAGTTTCATCTAATGTCAAAGCAAGAAGCCCTAAACTCCTCAGTAGTTCCTGAGAGTATCTCTGTTACATCATAGCTCACTAACTCACATATTTCATCATGCCCCCAAGGTAGCAAGGAAATAATAAGTTATGTCTAGCATATTTTGCTTTGGAATGTGGGAATTACATAATTCATTTCAGAAAGAGTTTCATGTAAAAACTTGTTGATACTTAAATGGGCAAACCCTCAGCTGTATGGACTGACTGATCCTTTGTAGCTCGATTCTTTCCACAGTGGTTCTCAAGTGTTAAGATTTTACTCTAAGCTTACTTGTAAATTAGCTATTAGTGCACTCATGCCTTCT